TGTAAAAACATTAACTCCTATGAGTTACATGTTAAGGAAGAATAACCTATATTTAAACAGTAACAGTTATCTGGTAAGGCAGGAAGGATGAGGCATAAAACAGCAAGAGTGAATTTAAACCTGAAATAAATGCTGAGTACAGCACTAACAGTTTGGGAGAAGAAAGGAAACCCCATTTACAAAGTATACATAAGGAAGAAAAAGTCACTCCATTTCGTCCTCCTCAATTCCAACTTCAAAATTCTATGAAGGGAAATGTGTGATAGTGGTGGAAGAAGAGGGCCCAGTTGACACATGAACCCCACCACACATTGGATGATGGTTGGCACGATCTTATCAGGCAAAGAACTTCCTAAGTTGTTAGTAATTGTGAGTGATATTTGTACTCACATCAGCAGAAAAAAGAAATTCACATGAATCTGTGAATTCATATTGAAAGGTTGAAAATACAAAGTAAAGTAGTTGAAGTAAATAACATTTTTGGCTTAATAAAATTTATTAATGAAAATACTTTTATTTTAAAGGCTAGCAAGTTATTAACTCTAAAAACAAAAACAGTGAAGATAAATATTGTTCAAAAGGATAATGTTAGACTTGATGTTTCAGTTCTCTTGAGCATTCAAGAAACTAAGAAAATATCAAAAAGTCACTTAAGTGGTGTGTGAAATTGACAATTATATCAAGAACTGGCCATTTTCTGGTCTCAAACAAGAGCTTGGTTAATATCATGATAATTAATTATCAAGTAATTATAACAAACAAATTGAAAAATGTAACCTCTGTGATCTTATAAATCCAGAAGTGTTTCCATCGGCAGAAATAAAATTACACACTGAAATACATAGATAAATCATATTCAGATAAAACTATAGATCACTAAATAAGTAAATGCATCACTATTGTTAACAATTATGGAAATATGTGTATGTGATCAGAATGATGAAAAATATAGCCAATGCAGAAGCTTCCACAGCAAGTTTTAACTCCCTCAAGTTAGAAATGATTATGGCTGATAATGCTAAAACTGCATTTACAGTTCCTCTTTACTCTGTAGCAGACCAATTAGAAAGATGGAACAGAAATATCTATAATATCTTAACTAAACATGACATTCATATAGCAGTCCTATTTACACACAAGGTAAAGAAGGACACAATACAATTATTCAAGGAAACAACAGACAGTAATAAAAATAATATCTAAAGCTGAATCTAGAATATGATCTCAACCATGAGTGAGTATAATCCAGAACTGGCATATTTATGAAACAAATACATTGCAAGAAATAACCTACAAGCAATCTTGTGGAACATCCCATCTCTAGTTATGTGACTGCAATGAACAGTGTGTTTTGTGGCCATGGAAATTATGAAAATGAAGTCAACATGGCCTGAAAGTGCAGATCTTAGTAGAATTCTAAATGATGGAAGTGTACCTGGACAGACACCACTTGCCACAGAGTGGGATCCTGGGCAAAACATGGGACAGGCCCCTAAAAATAATATATATATAACAAAAAAAAAGAAAACTTATCCAGTCGCAGTCTCACCAAAGAGTGAAGGACGGTGACAGGTGGAAGACAGTATCCTTACAAGGAAGAAACAGCTACCCAAAGCAGAGAATGGGAGATGAATGTATGAGGTTTGTCCCAGTGCTCAACAGACAAAGTACCACTAATGGATAATGGGGGTTGAGATGCAGGTAGAAGGGGAAGGTGCTTGATTGGAGTGAAGACACCAGGAATTGATTACAGGAAGAAGGAGATAAGGAATAAACGGCCAATGAAATCACAAGCTGAACCCAATGGGAAGGGAGGAAGGAAAAAAAATCATAAACATAGGAGTGGTACAAGGGAATTAAGCTGCATGAAATGGAGTCAACAGAAAAAAAAGCCTTGAAAGCAATGAAGCAACCCAGAGCATGCATGGAACAAAAATAAAATATCGAGCCAAAACAGCTGAGAAAACCAGATATGTGCTTGATGGGAAGCTAAGGCAAAATGAACCAAAGCCTGTACCAATACAAGTACCCTCTCCCAAAAGAGACAAAAATGCTCATCATGAAACAATGTCTGGAGAAGGAGGGGGAAAAATTATATGGTGAAACGTGTTGAAAAAAAAGGCTGGGGGTAGGCCTTGAAGACTTTGCAGTAGAGGCCTGGGAAGGCAAGCCATAATCAGGTGGAGGAAAACTGACAATATCTAGGTCATCCTAAATGGGCTCAACAGTTGAAGGAGGAAGGCGAGCAATGTCAGGAGAAGGTAGGGCAGATCCCAGCCCCCAGAGATCTTTACAAACTAAATCAATTATAAGAAATTACTAAAATGAAATAGTAAATATAATGTAAATTTAAGTAAGTGTGTAGTGAAATAAACATATGTATTAGATGTTATGTGTTAAAGAAAATAGGATACTTAACCTAATAATCGATTTACCTGTAAGATGACTATAGGCAAACCGTAAATAACAGATCCTTGTTAAGCCTTGTTAATGGAACTGAGGAGGACAGAGTATATCATTAAGCTCAAACTTAAAAAATCCAAACCTAACAATAAGTATGTACAATATCTGAAGAAATTTGTATGGACCCATCTGCAGGGATCCACACAAGCAAAATTAGCATGAAGAAGTATAAAAGATAAATAACAACAAAAATAAAAAAGACATTACATTGTAAAATTAAGTAAGAGTGTATTGACAAAACAAATGTATGAAATGTGATATATTGAAAAAAATCAAAAAACAATATAGTTAATCTAATTGACAATATACCAGAAAGGTGAATTACAGGAAATCCTAAAATAACAAAGACTTAATCTAACATTATAGGACAAAGGATACAACTAAGATCTAGCTTCTAACCTGAACTTGACTATTTGTATTGACCAATCTAGCTAAAATTATGTTACTTAACCCAAATAACTACAGATAATAATAGTAGTAGTACCAATAAAATATTCAAAAACCATAGCAGTATAATGTTTTATCTTTCCAAAGTCAGCGGACCATATTTCAAATGTGTGGACCCCTAAACTTGAGTCGCGGCCTGATGAATGTCAGCTCATTGGATGATCAATCTCCCAACAAAGTAAAGCCATAAATACCCCATAAAGGACCACCACCTGATGACTGTGTAAATGTGCTGATAGAAGATATAGCGTCCAAAGTGGTAACTTAGAATTCGGAATTGCATAATTTGAAATAATTAACAAAACACAACTGTGTTGGCAGAAACAAATAAAAAGTATTAAGATCAATAACTAGGTAGAAATATAAAATAATTCCATTTTGAAATAGGTTACAGATATCACTATTGTATGATAAATAGTAAACTTCTAAAGAGAAATTGATATTAAGATACATAAAAAAACTTGAAGAGAGCACTAATTAAACATCTGAATGCAAGCATTGCCAAACGAGATGTGATAATTAAGGAGAATAATATAGATGGAGGCACGGGTGTGGGGCACTTCTATTGGTGGAGGTCTGTCACATGATGATTTACATGCAGGAATCGGTTAAACCATGTGAATCAAGGGGTACATAGGAGAAAAAGGCTTGTAGCATGCAAAAAAATTTTGCAAATACAGGGTAGCAATGAATGAGAATAGCTATGCATGTGAGCAGAAGTAAAGTACCTTGTCAGAAATACAATTATAGGTATTACGTAGAGAAAAAATAGCATACTTCACATAATACATTGAAAATTAAAGGTTAAATTTTACATCAAAACCACATCAATATTGTGTTTGTGCAAGTTTCTAAATATTGTTTTTGAGTTTAAATTAAAAGGTAAGTTGAGTAGTTTGGCTAGCTGAGAGAGTGATTGATTATACTAGTTAAATAGAATTTAGGTTTAATTCTGTATAACGTTTTTTAAAACCTGTTGTTACAAAAATATTGTTTGATGTTTTTTAAAAGAAGCCAATCATAAAAGTGTTTTCTTAAAAACATGTTATAAAACTGTTATTATTTACATTTTTTAAAAAGAAACCACACATAAAAGTGTTAGAACATAAACCTGATACCCCGAGCACTTTCAAAAGGTCCACCTTGTGGAAGCACTCGGTTATAGGGTTTTTATTCATTTCCATCAAGACTTCTTAAACTTAGGTGTATTTCTTACATCATGAGTGTTTGAATATATACATATTATCTTTTCCACAAATAATGTTAAAGAATAACAGTTCTGTAAAAACAGGTTTTTTTTTTAAAACATGCATAAAAGTGTTAGAATTCATATTATTGGTGGAAATTATGATATTTAAATGTTTGTTCTAATTTCATATTTATAGAATACTTGAAAACAGTGTGTCTTTCTTTTCAGTATTGGTACCTTTATGCATTTGACATGTATTGTTACATGAAAAAACAAAAGATTGATCCTTTCTGTTTAAAAATAGCTAAACATCAGCCCTCTGTTCAGGTAATACCCAGGCAACACCTGATAAGAACGGCTAATTGTAAAATAAAATGCTTAATTTAAACTTAAAATAAGGTCAAACTATATTATTTTAAAGTACAAAACTATCTTTCAAACTGAACAATTCCTAACCAATAATACTGCAAACACTAAAACTATCAAGCATTTCTTATTTTCTCATCAGTTTGAAAACTTATCATTAGTACTAGAATCATTCTCTTTTATGTTTTACAATACTTCAAATACTATAAATACATGACATTCAGTAAAATGGATATTAAAAACAGATGTATTAGATATTTGAAATATCAGAATAGATTGTTACACTATTCACAGATGTCAAACAACAAAAAGAAATCTATGAAATGGTAAACATAAGTGCTGCTGTATATAAAATTAGTTGAGAAGTCAAAAATATAGAAATCCTAGACATTCTGACAAAAAAATGTTAATTGTTTTTCAATAGCATTTACATGTACTTGTATGTGCTACATGACTTTCAATAAAGATTATTTCACAGTATTTTTATACTTTGGTTCAAATTATTGATAAAAGTAAATAAAAATATGTCACTTACTAAACCACTTGGATCTTCTGCTTTAATTTTTAAGGTATATGCTGAGATCTCCTCTCTGTCCAAACTCTTACTTACTTTGATTATTCCACTAAAATAAGAATAAAATTTTACAAAAAATACCTACTATAATGTGATAATTGAACAGATAATACATAAAAATATGTATAAGATGATAACAATTTAGAATATTTTCATGTCTAAAAGCTTAATAACATACAAATGTATATGTACAATAAAACAATGTGCACAGTTTGTTGAAAGATCTAAATATATTTGCTATACTAAATATAGTAGTATAATATACCCTGTAACTGTATTTACATTTTATGTTTAAATATTTAGTCTAATGATTTTTTAAATATAATTAAGCTTTGTGTCACTCCACAAGTATCACCTAACTAAGCAGAGGCTAAACTTTCCCTGCTGATGATAGTGTTATATCCCCAATAGGAACCTGTTGAAGTGTGTCAACATAAATATTCAAAGATAAATAACAGAAAAGGAAAATAAAACATTAAAAATAAATTAGTGAAAAAGTAAAGACATGAAATTATGCATATGACCCAAAGAAGATATTTCAATATTATTCAACAAACAGATAAAAGGTATGTTATATTTAAATTTCATAGTTTTAAACATTTCATTGCACCATATGTTGATGATAACAGCAAGAGTAAGTAATATGGTAGAAAAAAATAGGAAAATTTAAGGCAAACATTTACCCTAAAAAAACTTTTCATATTTATTTAGGAGGTTCTAGAAATTATGCGTGTGAAAACTGTAAGATAAAAAATAGTATTTTTATACTTAACATGAAAATCATCTTGCAGGTAAAGTATTCAGAGTCCATGCAAAAATAAGTACATTAAATAACGAATTTTTATTAGAAATAGTAGAAAAAATCAAAATTTAATATTTTATTTTTTGAAACTACATACTCTTAGGAAAGATCTTGTCAAATTTTAAACAATTTCATCCACTAGTTTTATTTCAGGAAAGAAATATAACAATAGCAACGCTAGGTCATTCAATGTAGGTACCCAATAGACATAAGGATAAAATCCCTTAAATTAATGGCATCCACCAAATCCAAAGCCAGTCTATTCCAAAGACCAACTACTCTGTTAACAAAATAAAACTGTCTTAGCTGAAGATGACTACTACACTGTTAAATTTACATTTGTGTACCCTAGTCCTATCATTCTCACCATTAAGTATGAAAACAAATGATGTAGCAATACTATTGATTACCTTAACAATCTTAAACACCTTAATCAGATCCCCTCTTTTATTTTTTTCAGGAGAAAACAATTAAATAGATCTTAACCTGTCTATATAATATGACTTTTCCATTCCAGTTTGTACCTGTCCATATAATATGACTTTTCCATATCAGTTATCATCTTAGAAACTCTCTTCTGAGTCCTTTCCAAGAAATAAATGTTCTTTTTATGACAAGGAGGCCAAGACTGAACACAGTTCTCCAAATGTGGCCAAACCAATGACCTATACAATAACATTATATCCTCTTTACACTTGTGTTCAATATTTCTGGAGATACAACATAACATTCTATTTGCCCTACAACTAGCAACAGCACACTGTTTAGATGACTTAAGAAACTATGAACCACAATACCCAGATCCTTTTCTTCCATAACATTGTTAAGGTTATTCCTATCAAAATTATAATTGCAATTCAAATTATGATAACCCACATGCATTACCTTGAATTCATTATAATCAACAGTAATTTGCCATTTATTTGCCCAACAAACCAAATGATCCAAATCATTTGTAAAGCAGCAGCATCCTCTTCATAGCCAGTGCTCCCCAAGACCTTATTATCAGCAGCAAATTTAAGTAATTTATTAACTCTTCCTTTATCTATGTCCCTGACTTAAGTCAAAAAACAAGTAAGGCAATATTTTCCCCTAGTGAAACCAAGTTGACAATCCAATAAAATTTTAAGCTTTGTTAAATGACTTTGCAAATAATATTCGATCAGACTTTCAGAAAGTTTTCCTACCACTAATATAATACTACTATGCCTATAACTACCAGGAGTAACATTAGGCATATTTCAATTTGTTGGCACCTGGCCAATATTCAAGGATTACAAAAAAAATAATAGCAAGCACCACACATATCCAATCCTTAATATTATCTGGCTCAGGAGCCTTACCATTCTTGAAACTTCTCAATTTTTTCTTAACAAGCTCAAAATTAACATGATCATCTTGTTTCCAACTAAAAAATGTGCAGGAGAGGAATACTGTTAAATTAAGGGGAGATTTCTAATTTATCCGCCAATGTGTATAGTTTAAAAAATTCTGAATTTTGTACAAAATATTAAAAAATTTGAGTTTGTTTTAAAAGTAACTATTCTAACTACACATCTGTTAATAACATTATCTATTCAATGAAACTAGAACTTCATCCAGTCCAAAAACAAAAATATAAGTGAAATATCTATAAACATAAGCCTTGAAAGACAGACTTGAATATAATTTCAAAAAATGAGTATCATTAGTTATTTGTACTTTAATTGTAGGAATACATGGTTGTTTCACTGTCTCGCTATAGGCTCAGTCAAATTGACCTTTAGCGTTTCCATATTATAACTTTTAACATGTTTTGTGTATCTTCACGAAATTTTGCAAGCTTTTAGTATTATAAGTCTTTTGTACACAAAATAGCATAATTTTTTAATAAAGTATTTGCACTAAAACTTTCTTCCTGAATATATAGAATATATTCCTATATAGAATCAAAGTGTTGACTGCTCCAAGTGCAAAATGATTTTCATGTTAAGATTAAAAATACTCTTCTTTGTCTGAAAATTGTCAAATTTCATTATGTAATCTCTAAAACCCCCTAGAATAAATTTCAAACTTTTTTTCAGTAAACCTTTATATTTTCTCTATCCTAACTCTATAAGAGGTAGGTCCATTTTTACTACCATAAAAAAATATGAAATAAATCCAATTCACCCTTTTTTCTTTCTAGAATGACTTCAAATTGTAACAGGAAACTACATTTGTTTATCCTAAATAGCTTAAAGATTGTAACAATATACATCTGTTTATACTTAATTTTACTGTTTTATTGCTTTTTGAACTGTATCTAACTAATATTCCTGCCATACAAGTTGTATATCACTTGGCAAATGTGTAGCTTACATTATTATAATGAATTACAAAGTGCACAGGCACCTCGCAAGTTGCTCACAAGTACATTTTACCTAATGTAACATTATCTAACCTAAAAAGCCTCTAATTTTTACATTTTAGTTACTTTTATAACAATAAATAAAGAATACAGATGAAATACAAGAAATATAATATTGCCAGGGTCTTATCATTTTTTTGCTGTCAACTGTTGATGAAATTTAACCCTACATTTTTTATACTAATAGTACTACTGCATTAAATAATTTTTAATTAAATACTACATCTAAGGACACAAAATAATAACATGTAAAAAGCACGCAATACTGTATAACTATAATAACTTTTCTGCCTTTCTAACTATTAAAAATTCAACTAAGTTTGTCGATGTGTTTCTTGTAGGAATAAAGTTTGATCTGGAAGCAAATTGACAATTCTATGTACAGAAAACAACGTAGTATAATACCTTATTTGATAGATTAAAACTTTGGCTTTCTATTGGTTATAAATAATATAGTATTAAACGTCAGGGAGAACTA